AGGGGGGGGATTAAAAGCCCCCCCAAACCACTTTTTTTGGGGGGGGGGGGGGGGGGGGGTACTAATATTCGGGCATCCCGTAGTCGTTAGCCCATTGCCCTCCCATTCCTAAAAAGCCGGGAGGGAGCCCCCCGGGTTCTCCCCGGCCCAGGCCCTCCCTTCCCCAAGCGGGAAGCCCTGTGAGGTTTTCGGCGAGTCCCATAAAGGGGGAGCGCCTTTCCCCTAAGGGTTTTCGGCTTCTTGTGTTTTCTTGGGGGGGGGGGGGGTGTATCATGTGCATGCCCCAGCGGATATGCCATTGACCACGCGTTCCTCGAGAGGACGGGAGAGGGGGGGGTGATGACAACACCGGCGTCTCCGGCACCAAGAGAAACAAGTGTGCAAGCTCACGAGTCGAGTCGGTTTCAAAAACTAAAGGTAGAAGGCCCGTGGGAATCTTTCGATGGGCGGAGGCCCACTCGCAATGTCATCCACCCACCACACGGCTTCACAGGATTGAAGACGCCCACATATGCAAAGCTCCTATTATAACACGTTCCTCTCTGGGTTGTTAAAACTCGGGCGATTGCAGAAACAACCTCGGACACATCTCTGCATATAGCCAGCCAGCCAGCCACGTCTGCTAGCCAGAACTTCGACATTTTGGAGTCGCTCTCAAACACACTCCCAATTTTTTTCACCAAACGAAAGGTTTCTTCTGGGCACTGTCCCCCCCTGCCGGTGTTGTTACACGTTGCGCGCACCTTGAACGGTGCGCTCTCGAAGCCTAGGTTTCCTCCCGGCGAGAGCTCCAGCGCAAACCCCCAGTCGATGTGTATCAAGTGCCCGTCCGCCGAAAGGAGCAGGTTGCCGTTGTGGCGGTCTTTGATCTTAAAAAAAACAAAGAAGAGCAAAAAACGGGAACACAGTAGAAATACGGCAGCGGGGGTTTTGATCTGAATACATCGAAAGATAGTACCATACATGAAAACAGGAGCAAAAAACGGGTACATCGAAAAGGGGTTTGAACACAAGGTAGTACATACCTTTCCAGGCAAAGGACGCTCCTACAGCACCAACAAACAAGTGTCACCCTTGCCTTTCGGGCAGTCTTTCGTTCTGCGAACCACAAGCCAAGCAGGGCGGCTACAGTAGTTCTGAACAAGATGGCGCAAAAACAAATACAAAAGACAGATGGACGCAAAGGCTGCAGTACACAGGAGAACCGTGGGCACGGAAATCCTCGCCGAACCCTCTCGTGCACCATCAAATACACCGCAAAACAGATGCACCCCCCCCCCCCCAACCCTCCCCCGGAGGGCCTTGTCTGAAGCGACCACAGTGGGGGGGGGGGGTTTTTTCATGCCCTACCTATATTGGTTTAAAAGCCCCTTCTTTACGTGAAAGGCCCTCAAAATGATG